CTGCTGGCTGTCCTGATGTTCACATACGGTTCTGCTCCCTCGGTTGCAGTCTGATAGGGACAGTTAATCAAATAGAGCTTGAGAAATATTATTCTTGGCTTACATTTAAACTTGAAATAATGATTATATTTTATGACTTTGTTTTTTATAAATCATAAAGTTTATTTGGTGACAGCCTTTTGCTGTTTCTTCCATTCATATCTAATGTATTCAGAAGACTGTTTAGAAATACATATAATGCAATGAGATGATGCATTTTTGGTATGATTAATCTCTTTTATGGCATTTTGTCAAAGAAAAGAAAGTAATCCAGCTTGTCTGTGACATAATATGCATCCGTCCATGAATTAACAGAGCAATATTGCAAACTGTTTTCACACTTTGACTTAAATTCTGTATTAAGATGCTCAACAGTTTGAGGATTATTATAATCACAGATGCTGCCTTTTGAACTGTAACCTGATAATGAGGCCGGCAGTGCTCCTGAATATTACACAGTTTTTCATGTCGTTACCTGGTACTAGCCTCAAGCTTGCAATAATCAGTACTTTTAAACTATTTGATTAAAGAAAGCATGCATATTTCCATATAATCGCAAAAATATATATAATATTCAGCAGTTTTAATGATAGCTTTGGTGGTTTTGCAATATGCTTTTTGCACAGGCTTTTAAAAAATGAATTAGTGTTGCACACTTTGGCATTGAATACAATATGCTCTTTCTATAACCCTTGGAGAATGAAAGTGAACTTTTATTCCCTTTTTCTTCCTATTGTGATGGCCGCAATAACTGTCATTAATATTGGCGTTATCATATTTGTTGCATATGCAGTAAGAGTTTGAACACTCGGGACTCCAATGAGCTCAATGAGCTTAGTAATTTATTCAATAAAGTAATTCATCCCTCACAGGTTAAGGTTTCCTTTTTATCAGAAACTATTTTACTGGACTTGATTTCTAACCTACCTACTTGCATCCGGGAAATGTCTGAAACATTTCTGTTGTATTGATACATATTTCCGTGCAGATTTCAAGTTTCCACTCCAAAGCAGGTCTCACAGCCATACTGAATCAATAGTGGAGGAGCACAGCCGTTGTTCTTTGAGTTTATAGATCTGTGCTTTCTGATGGACTCTGCCTCCTCTGCACATTATGATCACAGTCTGTCTGCTTCCAACGTGACTGGAGCGCTGAAATTAATGCAGCCTTTATTTATAGTCGAGACATATGAGAGTATAGTCTAGCCAAAGATGTTTTTTTTTGGTCAAAGACTATCTGACGAGCATGCACAAAAATCTTTGAGTATCAGTAAATGCTGCCGTAATCAATAAGACATTCAAATATAAAATGTGTTTTTTTTTGTTATATGTTTTACCATCTTAAACATGAGTTGATTTTATATTAGTCTTTTTCCGAATTAATTTAACTGATGATAGTTTTAACTAAAGTGGTGTGAATATGGCCCTACTAGAATAGAGTATACTGAACACCACAGAAGATGGGTTTCTTAGGAGAGAATATGACCCGTTTTCTACTAATGGTCTCAAAGAAAAGTGCAGATTCTAAATTAAATTAGAGCTAATATAGTTGAAAATTAGAGACAGCCGCTATAATATTCTTAACTGATGATATTCCCCAACTATTAATCGCCTTTTCACTTCTCTTTCCAAATTACTCTAGATCCTGACTGGGTTAGTTGTATTCATGCATTGCCAATTTACAAATGCATGCACGCTCACAAGTACACAGACCAAACTTAAATTATTTCCGACTGTAAAAAATAATCTTATCATAAAACCACTGATAGATACGGAAAAATCATGGACACTGGCACTGCCCCCATCGAAACACTGTCAAAATCTCACATTTGTTTAAAATTCCACTTGGATTCCAGATGGCTGTTGAGATTTGCTGAGATTCTTCAAATTGTGGTCATAAAAGAGTTTTGAAAACCAAATATTAATGAATATAGGTGCCCTTCATTATTTCAGTTGATCATCGTTTTGATCATTACACAAACTGAACTTGAAGTTTACAAGAGCCCCTGTTGTATGGTTGACTACTGCATTATTTCACACAGGCAGCACAATATTTTCAAAAGTGAGTGGCCATGTGAAAAGGGCCATTACAATGTTAACTGTGCACTGCACAGGGGGACTCTGCAGCCTTGCACAACTCACTTTGTATCTTTTGCATAGACAGTCAGGTTTTCTTCTCATGGCACGGATTGCCTTTTGTTCTGTTGTCATACTTTCATGAAGATAGGTATTTCTGTTTTAGAGAACTAATTATCACCATTAAGATTAAGAAACATTTAATGGGTTAGAAAAAGGCTGTCTTGGACACAATTGGTTCATTTACTCACGCAATAACCAATCCATTCCTTTTAGTCACCTCAAAGCCTTACTTCAAATATGATCTTGGTCCATCGGTTTTGATAAGCAGACATGCGGCCCATTCAGCTTTTCAGTGACTTGTGTCTATGCATTTGCTGCATGGAAGCTCTCTCCTCTCAACACCCTTGCTTTGCTTTCCCAAGAAACTGACTCAGCAGCAGCCACTGTCATGTCTGCTTAATTTTGTCATGCTTGACTTCCTGCTATGTGAAGTCTCATCTGTCAAAGCCGCTTAATCCATATGTCACTCACAACAACAAAAAGCTGGGCATGTGCTCCCTGAAAGAGGATGGGGTCACGGGGCATTGGTTGGCTACGGAAAAAAATATACGGGTAATATCTGTGCAGGTGTAGCAGCACAGGTGCATGGCTGCAGGTGTGTGGAAATTTGAATGTTATGAAGAATTCCAGTCCAATATCAAGTTCCCAATAATGGAAAAAGCACAATCTGGAATCTAAAAATGAGATTCATTCATAATCAAAGAGCAATCTGTATGTATGTATGCACACATATATACATATACACCACAGGGTAGAACTTAAAATCCCCGGTGAAACGTATACTATGCATGTTAACAATATGAGTATTCCATCTCTGTCAAGTTATGAAAGCTAACCATTGCGCCATGCCCTAGTCACAAAAATTGTGGTTTCAGCAACAACAAAAAATAATCTCTATGGCAGATATTATTCTTTTATATTAAGTTTCAGTATTGAACATTAGTCTAAAATGGTGGTGCACTTTTGCAGGGCAGAAGTCCATATAAATTAGAGGCATTCCAATATCTCCACAGTGCAGCATGTTTTCACATGTGGAAAAATATATATTTAACTAAACAAACTGAGTGATTGCAGACACATGGAAAACAGAGAGTTGAAATAATTATGATCAGCAGGGCTTGAAATTAACACCTAACTCCCTCAGAGTAGGTGACATTTGACTGTGGACAGATAACACGATTCTCCCGCATAGCTGGATCAGGCATTTCTTTCTCTTTATATAAACACAACAGTTAACTTCAGTGCTTCTTTCTCATGTTTTTTCCCCATTTAAACAGAAGAAATAAACCATGTTAACTTTACAATGTCGATGTGAAGAAAAAAAAAGGAAATGGAAAAAAAAAGGAGACAGATGCTTAATATGCAAGAAGCCCAATGTCTGTGTTGAAACATTGGCTTTGTGATTAATCTAGCATCCTTACATAATATCTCAGGCACACATTCACATTTACTGTATTCGTCTCTATTGATTTGTGTTTAGAAATTTAATGTATATAACCACTTGAAAACTGGTATACATGAACAAGAACATAGCAAAAAGGTCATCTCATGTTCCTGCTGGGAACGCTTGAAGAAATATAACGATGGTCAGTAATGGATATTATTGTAGTTTTTTGCTTATTCTGCAATTTTTTAAAACTCCAGTTTGATGTTGGTATGTGGCCAAAATTGTTTTCAGAAGATATAAAGCATTTTTGTGTACATCATTGTTGTATTGTGCAAGTTCCTGACAAACCCCGATCAATTACTTGTCACACAAACCACTAAAAAAGGAGTCGCTTATCACAACTGGTGTTGCTCCTTCGCTGACTGACAAGTACACGTGCATCCAAGAGTATTGTAAGCAGATTTATCAAATTACTAAACTGCGTACTGTATATTTTCTCTTATCTTGGATTCAGGAAAAAAATTCAGGGTGGGTGAAATTACCACAGTAATGAACTCCTTGGTTTGCTGTGATTAAGTGACTTTACTTTACAGCAGAAATAAACCTATTTACAGCCTGTTACAAAGACATGGTTTGGTCTTTGTGTGAACTTTCCTGGAGAACTTAACAAAAAATATATTATGTGGCACCAATTGAAATGATGTTACAACATAAAGTTGTCCATTATTAATGGCAAAGCTACTATGAGGGACAAATGAGAGACAGGTGAGTGGTGTGGCTACTGTCACTTTTTTTCATAAGCCCGCTATAATAAACCAATAATCTCAAGTATGATATATAACTACAGCATGTAAGTCATTGCCTTTCAGAAAAACATGTTGAATCTCTGTGTCTGTTTTTCAGTTTAAATCCTCCCTATAACACACCATCTGTTGCTGTTGGAGGTGTAAGGAAGGTGTTAATATGCTTGTCAAAGCACATGGTTTATGTGGGCAACTGTACACAATGTTTATGTTTTTATAAAAGGTCATTTTCAATACCAATACAAATTAAATTTTTATGGAGAAAAGTCGGCTATACAAAATCTCTGTAAGCAGACGTTGCTGGTGAGAATGTAAAAAGTTCTCTAACCTGCTCTGTTGCTTATTACTTCATCTCTCCGTGCCTCTGTCACTTCATCAGAATATTTAAAGTGTTCAAGGGCCACAACAGTAAGATCTATGTTTTTTATCTACTCAAGATTAAAACAAAGAAATAACACTATATTTTATCAGCTTAAACATTTGAATTAACAAAAGTTGTAACGTACTTGAATTTTTACAACTGTCATGTTATTCCGTATTTTGTAACCACATATGGCACAATATACGACAATCACATCCAAAATGCACAATGATAATCAGTTGCCACTTTTCTTGTGTTTATTTTCCACTGACCTTTATGGCATTAGTTGAAATCTGGATCTCATGCAGCTTTCTCATCGTGCCGTCACGGTCAATGAAGTAGGATGAGGCCAGTTGATGAAGGGCTTCCACATTCTGAGTAGTGTTGGCAAGCTTCCTATCAAGCTTGTTTTTGGCCAGGTACATGGTAAGTGCCTCCTCCCCTGTAGGTACAGAAAAAGGAGCATCATTAGAAACATTAATGCATGTATTACTTTGAAGCCTTAATGAAAAAATGGTTAAGTTGTTAAGGTCTCAATTCAAGAAACAAAATTCAATAATGTGGGGGGAAGTGTGGGTTTTGTCATTTGTGAGAGCTGTCCAATTAAGGCTTATCAAAGCTGCCAGTTGAGCTATTAACATAATAGGTAAGTCAGAGGTCTGAACACCACGAAGTGCAGTTTTAGCTACAGAAACTGGATGCCCCAGATTTCCAGGAAAATTCTTAATATTTGCTGCTTTATCCTGAGCTGCCACAATCCCCAGACATGTCCTGGATTTACCCCTATTCCAATGGCATTTTTCCCCACAAAAGGTCTCGTGATATAGCATTTTTTATCTAAATTCCACAGGAATTCTATCCTGTTGAGAGCTACAATATAACATTCAGGTGAATTATTTTACTTTCAGTCATTTTTTAAAATCTTTCCCTCAAATACAGAGTAGCATTCCCAATAGCTGATATTCAATTACAGCCAAAGAAATTAGTACAACTGAGTTACATGAGGTAGGGGTGGTGGTATGGCAAAATGGAGCTGATTCAGGTATCTCAGGGGACCGTGTGTGCTTGTGTGCAATCTGGCATTGTCTGATATGCCCTTGGATCATCACAGTTACTGACTTCCTTTCATCTGGTTGTCTAAAATCTCTCACGTGCATGGCTAAATGAAATGACTGACTCCATGTTATGATCTATTATCTTAAGATAGAATTGGGTTTTTATGGCTTCTATCAATTATGGCTTTAAAGTAAAATATTATTATGAATGGAAAATTTCAATTCAAATAAACAATATACATACAACAATTAAAAACAAAATTGACAGTTTGCATTTATCCAAAGCAGTTGAATGCTATATTTCAAAGCAAACTAAACCAAACACTGAGTATGAGCTATTACTGCCATTATGGGGACTTTGGTCAGACTGAAACTCTCATACTTTATATGGTGAAATTTTAATAGCAGCTAAAATGAAGTTATGAGACAGAAATATTAAGAGCGTGCAAGCAAAGATAGAGATAAAATCATCATATTTCTAATCTTTATCCATAAATGAGGACCCATGCACAGAATAACAATTTGAGAGGTCAAAATGAAAACACCTGACATGCTCTCTTTCACCATATTTAATGCACATTATGCACTTCAAAAGCCTTGAAAGTCCTAAGATAATAAGGTCAGATCTTTTATTTAATTCTGCTGCTGACCTTTAAGCAAACGGAAGCATGTGAGCATAATCAGCAAAAGCATCAAATATTTACAGAGCACCACATAACAATTTGAATTTGCACATCATATGATTGTCTGTTGACACACCATGAACTGCCAAGATGCTCACTATATACACACGTTTCTTATCTATATTCCTCCCCAACCAACAGAAAGACATGCATGAAGAGCAAACAAGCCGACAACAATTCATTACAAGTCCACACAGCCATGCCTTTGAATTAAAGTTAAGGCAAAGCATATGCTTGGATCATTTTCAAGAGCATGTCACATAGGTTTCCGGTGCTTTAAATGGCTATTTGGCTCCAAGTGACGCATTAAAAATGGTCATTTAACTGCTGGTTACCATAACTAGGGGCGGGTGAGAGTCACAGATGATGTCTCATGCTTGATTAGAGGACAGCCAGTAAAAGGACAAGGGCCCATTCCCAGACTGTAGCAATGCTTTTCTCCCTCAGGGGTTAGCAAAGTTACTTACACACACTTGACTTGCACTGCTGCGCAAGAATAATGACCCCACATTAAGCCCTTGATCTGCCTTTTTTCATTTCTTATTTTTATTTAATCTCCTTTTGCAACTCAGTATGGCAAGAATGTGGTCTTTTGAACCTAAGGATCTTGTGGTTCTCACTGCCGGTCAGGCAAAATCATTACCAACATGGTTTCGACTTCATCTGTGTGCACCTTTCTGCAAGTAATACATTGTGTTACATTATTACAGAGCACCTCACCGGCACCCTGCCAGAATTAATCAGCTCATGCAGAGTTTATGTGTTTACAGCTGAGAGGTATTTAAAAACAATGTTCAGTTTCACCTTAAATCAACCAGAGGGTATGTGTGCCTGCGTGCAGAGGCATAAAAAACAGAAAAAAAAGAAAAAAAGGAGAAAAAAACTTGTTCCAAGCATGCATGTGGAAGTCAGTGATGAGTTGTAGTGAAAATATTGTTTAAAGATAACGGTGTGGCTTGAAGTGTTCTATTCTGCTTTAATGACACACATACACATAGGGAAAATGTGTATGTGTGTCATTGTGTGGAATGACATTATCCCCAGAACAATAATTTCAATTGTTCAAAATGATTTCATATAAAACATATAGGCACCAGGACACACACATAGAACTAAATCATGCTAATGATCACTTTTTACTAATCACATAATGCCTTTCAGTTAGCAACACATTTGTGAAGGACAACCCATAAGAATAGAAAAATATCACTCGAGAGGGCAGGGCAGTGGGAGATGGAAAGCATTACTTGATATATAGAGGGGAAATAGCAAACCATTACCAACGTCAAAACAAACAAAATTGAACAATTGTAGAATATTATTAGAATGAAAGAATTTCTGAAAATAGGTGGATGCAGAATTTATTGGATGGAATACAAACACTCAACTACACTTGAATTGTTCATGCTTTGTGAAAAGAATATTCTGAAAGGTACATTGTTGCATTGGGATAAACATTTCAATGTTCAATTATTCTCTGCTCATTTTAAGTTTGTAGTAGAACAACAAAAATACAGAAAAGTTTCAGGGAAAATGTTATAAAATCAATCTTAATACATTTCCCAGCAGAATTTTGCATTAAATACTGAGGCTCAACCTTTGTTCTCCCCTCGAACCCGAGCCTCAGGTTTCAGTAACCCCAAGTATCTTCGAAACACTACTTCTTCCCTTTTTATTACTTTTGTCTAACACTGTGGTCACATTGTAAAACAAAAAAAAATCACTGCTTGGACAAAGCATGATTTAAAAAGCAGTTTTCTAAAAACTGAGTCCACTGCTAACCAGCTGTTAAACAGTGCCCAGAAAGTTTTCAGATCTTTTGTAGTTTTCCATGCCTCAGTTATGGTACAAAGCAAATGGTTCCAGCCCTTGTTATTGGAAATAGATAAATATTAGATTTGGTGAGTGTTTTAACCCATAGATACGGCACTGGTATATGTAGTTCTTCAATAAGACAAGTTCCTTGGTCATATTTCTATTAAAACATAACCTTAGCTGGTTGTAAAAAATAACTCTATTTGTAGTTAAAACTAAATATAAGCTGTGACTTAGGTATTCAATCAATTTTTTATCTCTCGTAGCCTTTGAAAATATATCACACACTAGTCTTCCAAATTACCATGGAAATATTGTTTGGCGCTCATGGGAAATAAACTCATTTTCTTGGAAAAGTACTCAATACAAAGCAGTGCATCTAATACAAAGCATTGCTTCGAGTTTAGTAGTTTATGTGTCCCTGTCTTCATAAAAATTTGAATTGTTGCACTGTGCAGTGGTTCATAATGGTCAATTAGTAATCACCACAGTTGAAGCTTTTGAAATGGAGGATTATATTGGAATGATCTTTTCAGAACCTTAAATATTTAGAAAATACATGTAGATATTCTCTTCTACATTTTAAGATTCATGGTATTTTGTTTTCTGACAAATCTTCAATCTGAAACATATCTGTACCCACACACCAAGCAAATTGAGGCAAAATAGCTTTTACTTGAAGTGGAAAACTGATTTCAAACATATGAGGAGGAGAAAGTGACAGATGTGTAAAATATATTCCTTACAGCTTTAGCAAAATGCAAATATGTCCTTCACACTTTAGTCCAAAAGCAAAAACCTCCCCTGGCGCTTTATATACCAGCTTGGATGTGCAAGGGCTTCTTTACCATTTCAAATTCCGCAACAGAAAGATATATTTTTTAAGTCAGTGTACATACGGTACCGTCGGGCATTGTTCTCACAGACTGTGGGCAAATTCGAGGTGTTGAAGATATATGTAAAATTTTTATGATGTGGTTATCAGCCTCAGCTTTTGGACTGAGTTAAACCAATTCTAAGTGGGTAAATCTTTATAGCGAAGCCTGACAATTATTCAAACTGGTTTTGGTTGGCCAAATACAGCCAATGTCCAGTTGCCATCAAATGTTATATTTTAAATTAAGTGGCTTGATGCCTCATTCCAAACATTCCCAGATGCCAGAAACACAGCTGTGGGTGGCATGATAATAAAGAGTGTGAACGGTAATAAAGCTGTAAGAAGTTGATAATTATTTCCCAAAAGGTCTTAAAATGACACTGTCAGTCATGCTTGTTAAATTGTAACTTACCATGATATTACTATGGCACAGTATTTACCCATCATTTAAAAAGCCTGAGAACCAGTAATATTACATTTTTTACTGTGTATAAACCCAATAGAATTATGCCAAGCCTTTCACTCACAAAACACATTGTGACAAATCTTTTAATATATGATAATAAAATCCATTGATTTTTACTTAATTTCTACTCGGGATGAGTCGATGCTCAATCCAATTCATCCGAAAGATACAGATAAAACATACGCTCATTCACAGTCAATTTAGGACAATCAAATTACATAAAAATGAAAGTATTCGAACTGGTGGAAGCCAACATGAGAACATTGGCTGGCAAAGGATGAATATGCCCCTGTAGGGCCTTCTTGACAATGAGGCAATAGTTTTTTCTAATGCAATAAAAATTCGAAAGTTATTCTATCAAAGTAATTGTCAACTGAAAGTGTTTGTGATTTTGTTGTGGCGTTTTGTTTTTTCTTACAAATCGACAACCTTAACACTAATTTGAAATGTAAAACAACAATATAATTAGCGTAAAGATATAGAAAAGGTTAACAAAGAAATGAAAACATGGAATAAAAGGTAACTAATTTTATTCAGGACAGAAGAGTGCATGCTTCTTGGTGTCTCTCCTTCTCATGTTGGAAATGTGTCTGAAAGAAGATTAAAATATATCTTCTAATTTTCTCTATAGTCATAGATATTCATTTGTCATTATTCATTTTTTACATTTTTGTGAACATTTTTCATCAGCACAAAAGGTGTGCTGACTCAAAACTTGAAATAAAAAGCCTCAAGGTTAACAAAAACGCAACTGCAACATAGAGTCATAGAAGACGATCCAGAGGTTAAATGTAAAGAGAGATAGCAAACATGAAAGGTGGTGCAATACAAGGAGACTAAGAAGGATGCTGTGGTTGAAAAGGACACTGGGATAATTTTGGTCTCCTTCTGTCTTCTTTTTTTCTTTCAGTTATTCTCCATTTCAAACAAAATGGTGTCTCTCCAGCACCAGAATTATACTTACTTTATAGAACCCTTACTCGTATATGACTTTCTTATAAGGTTTCATATCAATACTCTTTTGTTGTATTTAGAAATCAAATAAAAGACAGAAAATTGTCCAGTTTGAATGTTTAAAATCCTCGATTTAAGTCCAGCTGTGTGAAATATTCACTGTATTCTCATTCCTAACACATTAAACAACCATTTTGTCAGAGCCAGATTAGTAAAATATGTGGTTGTCATTTGAGTCTGTTGTATTTATTTTTAAGGTCATTGGAGTCCAGTGGAGAGTAGTGCAGTGGTTCAGTTTTGTTTTTTCAGTAGGTTGATTTCAGAACAGAGATAAATGACATTTAAAGATAATCAAGAGTTTAACAAAGATTTATGACTAAGTGAAAGCGGGCAACGACTATGACAGCCTTTCATTGAGCTACAACATCCTGTGGAGAGAGACGATGAGCTGAAACGGGAACGGTGGGAGCAATGTTTGTTCTTACAATAGCACATCGAGTCAAATATGTCAGTATTGAATCAAATGGCGATATGTTTGAAACTTTTCACTGTGGAGGAACGATTTGCTCATCACTCCATTATTTATTTTACAATGACAAAACCTGAATTATATGTTGTACGAATAGATTATTTGACTTTATGTGACAAACATGTCCTATACAAGCCATGCAAGCAATGGAACAAAAGAAACAGAGATAAACACTGATGAAAATATGGCATAAAATATCCCCTGGATACCCAAAGTGCAAAATAGTTTACATGGTATTTGTAGGGAAAAACTGTTTTGTTGTATTGAATTATGTGTATATTTATATTAATCTAACACGATTATTTGGTTAATGTTACATTTTCAATTGAATTCTTCACCATCTGGCTTAAGTTTTAATACACCTATGTTGATGTGTTTTTTTCTCTGTATTTGTTTACGTTTTATGGGAGTTTTTATGGGAGTGTACAGTTCTTTAAGACATTCAGTTTATGCAAAACACAAACAAGTGTACGTCACGGAGGGAGATTTTTTTGCTGGAAATATACTCTCATAGCTAAAACCTGCTTTGAGGTAGCGTGTCTAGATCGCACAAAAGAAAAGACACTATGCAAAAAATATACTTAAGAAATCCTGTTTTCTTCATAAAATGCTGGGAATGGTGAATGATATCACCTCAACATGTATCCGAATGTGTCCACTATAGCAAAAAGCAAGTGGAAAGGAACGTACAGGTCAGCAGAAAAGAATATGAAGCAGTTACCGTTATCAGCATGCACACAGGCTCACTGGCAGAGAAAGCTCCGGAGCATTAAATGCATTCTGTCTCACCCACTGATCTTCCAGACATTTTATTTGGGGACTGGGTGGAAGACAGAAGTCCAGAGCAAATGCTGTACACATTTGCATTCTCACATGTCACCACTCTAGTAAATCTGTAAGAACACTTTAGCCCTAAAGAAACTCAAGAACTCTAAACCTGCAAAGTGGAAAAGCTAAGATTTTGAGGCTTCCAATTTAGGTTTTAACTTAGATATACAGCTCATTGTATTTCTTAAACCATCTTTAGCCAGCGTTTGTCTCCAAGATCTGAAATAACAGTGTTATATTTGCAGAAAATAGAGCACGATAAGCATCAAAAATGTTTCTCAAACACACTGATTTCAAGATTATAAAGCCAACATGCGTTTTACACAATTGGAGTCACTATCCTACTTGGCAATCATGCACACAAATATATAAGACAGGGTTTGAGAGACAGAATGGGTTATCTGGCTAATTATATCTTTTAAATGCAGTTAGCTAAGTAATCACGCTTAGCTGCCTTCATGCATCTCTCAAAGCTTTAGATAAGATAAGAGATACAAGAAAGAAGCCATTTATATTTAGGCTTGGTCAACAAAGCTGCTTAGCTTTGATTTTCGAAACATGTCCAAAATACTAAGACCATCTATCATAATGATTATTTATTTATTGATTATTTATTTGTTTGAGGGGATGTAAAAAACAGAATTGTGCAGAATTGTACTAAAAATACTGATGAAATTGTCTGTATGTGCATGATGCTACGTGTCACTGTTTCTGAATAAGAATACCTGCGTGGAAAATGCGGTTATAATACATGGCAAATAAAATGCAAACCTTTTGACCAACAAAATCATTAAAAAATTATTTTAACATGAAGATGATTTCATTCATGTGCTGTTCTGTGCTTGATTTACTTTTTTTTTTTTTAATGTTACTGGTATCTTAGTATGGCTGCACAGTGCTATGTTGGTTAGCACTGTCGCCTCACAGAAATTGGATTCAAATCCCCCAGGGGCTGGGGGTCTTTCTGTGTGGAGCTTCTCTCCATGTACTCAGCTTGCTCCTGCAGTCCAAAGACATGCATTTGGTTAATTGAAGACTTTAAGACTGCTCATAGGAGTGAGTGTTCGCACATCTGTTGTGCGATGGACTGGCAACCTGTTCAGGATGTACCCCGCCTCTCGCACAATGTCAGCTGGGATGCAACCCTCCCCCCCAGAGCAGAACGTCAGTATTTACCAGCATGAAGCATTTAATCACAGAGTACAAAGCATATGCAAACAGAATTTATATCAGTTTAGCAAGGGAATTTTTTTTTGAAGAAAATCGAAAAAAGCTAATCAAACATAGGAAAGAAGAAATTATACAAGTGAACTTCTCCTACCTCCAAGGGTGGCTGAGATGAGAATGTGGGTTCCATATTTCTTTATAATAGTATCAATGAATTGCTGAGTTGTGGGTCTGCGGCCCAGCAAGCGTATGCTGCGCAGGAACTCAGGCATGAGTGGCACGGGGTTCCGGATGAGGTCCCTTCTTTCAATGGCTGTGTTCCTCACCTTCCAACGTGCAAATTCCCTGATGAATTACAAGAAAAACAGCTGCTTACAGAGAAACACATTGACAAAGTATTTATATAAAAAACTATATTAATTACAGTAGCAACACAATAACGTCAGAGCCTTTGTCCAGTCAAATGTTTTTGACTGGAGGTTAATGCAGTGGTATACCTTATTAATAAAGCAGGAAAAATGGTAAGTACTTCAACTAGGATTTAGTTAGGAGCATATAAAAGCTGCCCATATTAACCTGTTTTTGCCATGTGCCAAATGTTGTGTTGTTGATTATATTTTTATACAGTTTGACATTACTTCACACAATTACTGTTACTTGCATTATAATTAGATTTCCAATAAGCCCAGCTTTGCTATGACAAGCTGTATTGTATTGGACATTTTTTATTATATGATGCTTTTTGAGTTTGAAGGAAAAACTAAAAGAGGTAACACTACATTTCAGTTACATTGCCTAAAAGGCACCTCATGCAGAATCTTTTCTGACCCCTATTAAAGATATATTTCATTGCAAGAAATAGTACCAATGATTTTTCAAATCTATTTTGTGATTACACATGTTGGTTGTGTCAATTCCCATTCAGACCTGCATAAATATTAAGTTTTAAATGAAAAAAACAGAAACCCTACACTAAGAAATTCAGAAATGTCCAATAGCCCTGGAATAATATTAATATTTAAAAAAAAAAGTCTGCTTTTTCAAATTGAAAGAAACACATATTTTTCCAGCTTTGAAAGAAAAATGGTCGGCTGAATGTTTGACAAGTGCGTCAGAGCAAGAGATTAAAAAAAACATTGACAAACATCCGGGACTGCATTGTAGAAATAGTGTCTTTTTAGCTGAAACCAAGCTCGAACCATAAAGTGACAACAGTGTTTTTGAGAAGTGTTGTTATCCCAATGACAGAACATGTGCTGGTCTTTTTCTCAGTTGTCACAAAGGCTCAGGGTTGAAAATGCAGCATTTAACTCGCTCCTCATTTCCTTTCATGCAGACTTTGGGGCTTGCTAAACAAATACGAAGGGGATATAAGCTTTGTACTGGTTGTGGAAGTTGTATACTGTATTACAGTGAGGAATGTCTATTTTAGTTGGGTAATTGTCTCTTTCTGTCTTACTCTCCTTATGATTTTTAGACATTGTATTTAAATATATTATTCACATAAAATTAGTTTGCAAACAGCCCATAATTTTTTTCATGTGCAAAATATTGTAATTTTGTCGGATCAGGTTAGAGTTAGGGTTAGGGTCAGGTATCGATTATATGACATCTCTGCAGAGATAGTTAGGATAAACTACTTTACAAAGAACCCACAATGTCTGCTTGACAAGAAAATGGTATTCTTTATTTTAGAGCTGTGGGTTTAAATAAAACGAAAAAGCATTTATAACTTCTCAACTTGTGACATAAAATAAGATCTTTGATGCACCAAAACAGTGATCGTACTCTTGGGAGGAAAGTCATAGTTTGAAAAACAATTTGGTGGTTTGTGATCATTTAGATGCCTAGGTTCCAGCAAAGGTTTATCCATGTCTGGTCTTTGGGTCGTTCGGCCCAGGATGTAAAGAATTTGATTTAATAATTCCAAATAGGTCAGAATGCACATCATCAGAATTAGATTTATATATAATTTTGATACATTTAACATGAAAGATGAGCACAATTACAGTAAGTGTTTGACCCAAAGTTTATTAAAAACTCTGCTGTGCTTACCATAACCAACATGCTTTATGGTCTCATGAATTTACCCCTAAAGGCTTACTCTAATTGATGTCAAACCACTACATAATAAATTCATATATACAATACTTTTAATGAGGCATAATGCAGCTATATACTAACAGCGAATGGAAATTCACAGCCATTTTTGTTGAAATGAACATATTTTTTGTATAAAAATACCCTCTGAGTTACAAGTCTAGAGGATACAAGCAGTGGTTTGTTTGCCGTCCATCTGGTTAATGAAAATACAATGTATCCATAAACACAGCATAAGAGGCTCAAAGAATCAAATCCAGCTAAAGTTCAACCTTGATTATATCAGTCCACTGTTGGTGAGAACGGGTGGCTGTGGCTGGGGGAAGACATTCAAAAGGTTGGGGATTGGATCCCTCTCCAGTCGGACTGTCTATCTGTACTTTGTCCAGATACTGTTGGGCATCTTTTTGTGAATCTGTTACTGGCGTGTGTTGGAAAAAATACTGTACATTTATAAATAATCTACTTTTATGAAATTACTATAGAAAAATCTAAATGAGTAAATGTCTGCAGTATACCACATTTTGACTGGTTGATGTGACCAGACAGCATAAAACAACTGTGTATTCACAATGTATCCAAAACAAGCACCAAATTGTGATGCATGCGGGATTGCTAATTATGCTCTTTTCCCTTTGGATGTACTTAATTTTGCAATAACACCATCCATGTCTCCCTTCCCGAGCATGTGCACCTGCAGTCAAGCATTCAGAAAAGCTACTCTTATATTTCAGACTCTGCAGAATCTGTGTTTAAAGGCAGACAAGTGCTGGTTTATGAAAACCCTGTCTGCTGCTTGTTTGCCTCAGTCAAACACCTTTCACGACAGCGTACTAATACAGCTAATAGCGACACATCCATACACATCACCAGAAGGTGCAGAACAAAAAGGATTTTCACTGCGGCTGAAAGCACGGGGCTTTTCCATCACTTGAGGAATTGCTCAGCAGATGCCCCAGTGACATGAAAATGTATTTCCAAAATGAGTCATCTGTAATGGGTTTTTGTCACCCTGCCCTTATAAGCTGTAATGTTGAAACTCTTAACTTCAGCAGTAAGTAAATCAGCAAATGTAATAAAGCAATAAATCAAAAGCCAATTTCTCATTTTATAATTATAGTGCCTTTGTTTTAGTTTTTTAAGATAGTTAGTCAGTTTATGAATAAGTTGGTTGTGTTTTTTATTTATGGAAAAAACAAACAAACTTGAGTGTGCCATCTCAGTCCTCCTACAATCTGTAAGTGTTTATGATTAGAGGTTTATGATCCTTTCATGCTGTGCAGCGTTTAAGTGTAACTTTTAATGATACGGATCGTGCTGATGTAAAGAAACTATATTTATGGTCCTATTTAATCATGCTGTTGCCACAGTGTGTATAGGTGTGAATACGTTGCTACCATATTGAGCCATTATCTGGTAGATTTTTTTGTATTGGTAGCTATACTATAACCTTTGATGATGGAGAAGGACTGTATGATTAAACAGAGGGGCATTATTTGTTTTCTCTAATGCCTATATGTCTTTGGTGTTTAAGTGAGTTTCCTCCAATTGACCAGTCATTGACTTTAATTTTTTTGGAAATAGTCAGCAATGTGTCCTCCTAGTCTGGCTATCTTGAAAATAGCTATTTTAAATGTTCTCTTCAGCACTTTTTATTTGTCTTTTAAAATCCCAGTCAACTGTTAAATGTGCATCTTTGTGGCGCTGCCAAGTTTTACAGATAAACCCCTGATAACTCCCTCAAAGGACAAATCATTTTATCGTGATCAGATATAGTTTAAGTGATCGGACTAACATCAAAGATCAGCAAGCAGAGCATAGTGAAAGTCAGAAAAATGACTTGTGTTTTTCTACTTTGGGACATATCTTGCAGATGTCTTCTGGGAATTCTCAAATCTTTCAGCTCTTCAAACACACATTTGCTCAATCATAATACTACAGGTCTGCTGCTATTCACTGTCAATTAATATTCCCTGATTCTTTCCCTCTGTGTTATATATCAATTTATTGTTATCCAATGCATCTCACAGTTCGGTCACTTCAATTATGATATAAAATGTTATGTGGTGGCCACATGCACTTAAGCCCTTCTGGCCCAGATTAGACATGCCAGCAGATGGAACCTGTGACATGATTCAGTACTTTACTTCATAGCTTCAAGACCAGTTTAATGACCTATCAAAGGAAGTTAAGAGGAGATAAATTGAATTGAGCTGTATAGAAGGGAGATGGGAACAGGGGTGATTATCGCTTTATGGTGTTTAAGTAACTTATCTGGGAGGTCAGCTGCATTACATTTGACAGTGCAAAATTGCCTGCAACCTTTATACAGGAAGCGTTACACGATGACATGCACAAATGAATGATTAAATAATTATGGCAATATCATAATTATCATTATTAATGATCTGAGAGACATACATTTATACATTTTGATCGAAAAGCTAAACACACAATGTAGGTTATTACAAGAATGAGGTAAGCTTTTCTGACATCTTTTTGAGGGGTTTACTTTGAAGCAAGTTGGACATAGCCAGGCTTTATGTTAAGTTGGCTTGCATGAACAATCCTTCAGCTTAATCAGAGATAACAAGACAGCTGTTCTCCATTTTCCATTTCAACTCAGGTGTTGTTAACTTATAAAGAGGTCTTTGATGTGTATTTTGACAGTGCTCCTGCAAAAAAAGCAGTGATTCACTAATTTCTCTTACAGTAATTAGGAGCAAATTCATTTAGGCCTGGCACTGTCAAATACTGACATTGTGGAGACTGTGATGTACATGATTCACCATAATCTTTAGAAGTGGTCCTGCACGCCGTCACATATAAACACAGAGCTGGCTTGTTCGGCTCTCTGTGTAATAAGAGAAGTGTATGGCAGGTTTAATATATTGCTACTACATGCCATGTTTGCAGACGTATTGTGTGGCCACCATCTTGTTTCCAGAGTGGCTATGGAGAACAATAAAAAGGCTACAAAGTCAAGCATGCAGGTTATGTGGCAAATTGTTGTTTTTCTGGTCTTTCATATTCATCAAACCGTGGTTAGATTTAAGTGTAAACTAAATTAAGTTTATTTAATAAACTGAATATGAGGATTTTTTTAAAGACTGATCTATGTTAAAGTAAATCAACTTTACGACAAATCAGGGCTTAACATAAAAAAATATTA